TTAATTATCTAAAATAAAGTATAAAACCAGCATTGCGTCTGAGTACTCTCAGTTCTTTGATGAATTTCCTTATTGGCTGCTAGCTTCTACGGGCTTAGTGGCTGCTGTTATTGGCTGCTAGCTTCAGCCTGGTTTGCTGAGAAGGTCATTATATTAGCACAGAATTTTCGAAACAACGATTTTTAACGACACTGTTGATATTCTTGTTTCCTCAATATGTCAATAACATACCCCGTTTTAAAAAATCGTTCATGCATAGAGCATGCTTTTGAATAAATGAGACTGGTTGAACTAAATTACATGTAAACGTACAACATTCGTGGGCACGATTTATCTTTCTTGACCTTACGAGACTTGATTATGAAAACACAAAAGCAATTTATAATTTTGATTTAAAAACCAATCGTGAATAAAAGTTTAAATTTGTTGGTTTTTCGTACCAATTGTAAGGACATCATTTATATACTGAATTGACGACTGATTTCCCGTTAATTATTTGCCGATCATGACAAGGAGCAAACGGCGATTGTGACCGCTCTGCAGGGGATGCTAACTCCTCCATTTCACCTGATCCCACCTCTGATGTTTAAGAGGTCCGTGTTTGCTTTGCTCCTGATTTTATTGTTTAATGGACTTTTGAGATTGAATACTGTTTGTTATCTCCATGCAAGTTAATTTTACAGATTAAGCTGTTTACTTTACAAATTATTTTGTGAAAATGAAAAAAAAATGTCTTAATTTTATTTAATGCTCCATAAATCAAAATCACAAATAACAACTATTATATGAAATAATTTTTTTTAAGAAAGAACAAGAAATTCTATCTAAAACCTTGTACCAATCTTCACCGACCTTAGAAATCTGATAATTTGTTTAACATCACAGGTTTTATCAAAACATTTTAATAACCATTGTAGGATTAATTTTTTTAAATCATGAAACTGAATTGTTCACATGTTTTTTAACCAGTCGTTAACACAAAGATGACGAGAATCAAGAAAAGTTAAGGCTTTATGAAGATTTATTGCAATTAACCAATTACTTCACCCGGATTCCCTATAAGTATGTGATCTTCCAATGTAATTTTGTAGCCAGAAAAAGTACAATATACTTCATCTGGTGCCCCGAAGTAAGAATTAGTGGACTGTCTAGATTTTAAAAGACTGTGTCACCTGACACTAAATCTAAGACTGCAGCGTTACTTCCGGCGGCGAACTCTCCATTAGATCGACCATACAATGAGTCGATATAGTGATAGTTATGGTACAACTCCGCCCAGACTTTAGCATCAGAACGTGACAAGGCGTGGAAATGAAACACGTAAATACCACTCTCTCTAGCGGTGAAATACCCCGTGACCGGGCTGTATCCGCCTCCACGGTTAGAGAAAATTCGGTCGAAGATTAGAGTGGTTCCCGAAAAATGATGTGAAAGGCCAGCAGAAAATGAAACTTCAGACTGGGAATCTGAAATTTGAATTTATAAGAAAGTAACCGTGATGGACGTCATACAAATGCACTTCATTAACTATAAGCTAGTTTTTAGTACAGGTGCAGAAAAAAGAGTTGATATTCCTTTAATCATTTCTTTACATACCGTCGGAATCGTGGGTTACAGGGGCTAGTAGAATCCCTGAGAATGTGGCGTAGACTTCGTTTGGTGTTCCAAAGAGGTCAATCGCTCTGTTATTTCTGGTTTTTATGTACACCTTGTCCCCCGAATGAAGGTGCAGCACAGCAGTATTACCGGCATCAGCGAACCCAGACACCGTGTGACCGTAAGCAGCGTTAACGTAGTCCTTGTTGTGGTAAAGCTCCAACCAAATCAACTGAGTGAAGTACAAATGTTTTAGAAAGCAAAGCAAGTATTGTCAAAAATATTAAGAACAAGATGTTTGTGAAACACCATGCGCCTGGCGGCAACAAAGTTCGAAAAAAGCTATTTTTAGCTTATAGGTCACAGTCGAGGTCACAAGGCCTTGTTTCATTTGAAAGAACTTGAATAGTGGTGTATGCATAACAAATATGAGGTCTCTTTCTCGCATGGTTCAAAAGTTATGGTGAAGGTTCAAAAGAGCTATTTTTAGCATATAGGTCACAGTCAAGGTCACAAGGTCATTGTCCTTCGTTTCATTTGAAAGAGCTTCATTAGTGGAGTATGCATACCTAATATGAAGTCTCTATCTTTCATGGTTCAAAAGTAAAGTTGAAGGTTAAATTAAAAAGCTACTTTTAGCATATAGGTCACAGTCAAGGTCCCAAGGTCATCAACCTTGATGTCATTTGAAAGTCCTTAATTAGTGGTGTATGCATACCAAATATGACGTCTCTATCTGTTTAAAAGGTATGACGAAGGTTAAAGTTTGCAGACAAACAGACAGACAGGACAAAAACAATATACGCCCGGATCTATCGATGCGGGCGCATAAAAACTTTGTTGTTCTACCTGTTACACAAGCCAAAACTCGACGAGGAAAAAACATACGAGTACCTGATTATTTTGAGCGAGTCCATGATAGTGAAAAATATAGGTTCCATCCACCGGCGCAGTAAATACACCCGTCAGGGGATCGTATGCATCACTTTCAACCATGAGTTTGTTATACATAACCGTTTCACCGTTAGTTGCATGAAAATGATGGTCAATTCCAACCGAGAAGGCCACGTCCTCATAGGAATGTTCTGTAAAGGTTTTTTATACCCGCACTTTCTAAAGAAAGTTCGGGTATATTGTTGTTACTCATGTCCGTCCGTCCGTCCGTCCGTCCGTCCGTCCGTCCGTCTGTCACACTTTTCTTCCCTGAACTCCTCCTACATTTTACACAGTAGCTTAATCATCTTTTAAGAGATGGTTGGTGGTGTTATGTAGATGTGCAGTAAGGTTTCGGAATTTTGATTTTGCCCCGGGGGGTCAAATGGGGGTCGAAAAACGACGTTTTTTGTGCAAAAAGTCCCATCTTCCCTGAACTCCTTCTACATTTTACTCAGCAGCCAAATCACCTTTTGAGGGATGATTGGTGGTGTCATGTAGATGTGCAGTAAGGTTTCGGAATTTTGATTTTGCCCCGGGGGGTCAAATGGGGGTCGAAAAATGACGTTTTTTATGCAAAAAGCCCCATCTTCCCTGAACTCCTCTTACATTTTACTTAGCAGCCTAATCATCTTTTGTGGGATGATTAGTGGTGTCATGTAGATGTGCAGTAAGGTTTCGCAATTTTAATTTTGCCCCAGGGGGTCAAATGGGGGTCAAAAATGACGTTTTTTGTGCAAAAAGTCCTGTCTTCCCTACACTCCTTCTACATTTTACTCAGCAGCCTAATCACCTTTTGGGGGATGGTTTGTGGTGTCAGGTTGATGTGCAGTAAGGTTTCGGAATTTTGATTTTGCCCCGGGGGGTCAAATGGGGGTGGAAAAATGACGTTTTTTGTGCAAAAAGTCCCGTCTTCCCTAAACTCCTTCTACATTTTACTCAGCAGCCTAATCACCTTTTGGGGGATGATTGGTAGTGTCATGTTGATGTGCAGTAAGGTTTCGGAATTTTGATTTTGCCCTGGGGGGTCAAATGGGGGTCGAAAAATGACGTTTTTTGTGCAAAAAGTCCCGTCTTCCCTAAACTCCTTCTACATTTTACTCAGCAGCCAAATCACCTTTTGGGGGATGGTTGGTGGTGTCATGTAGATGTGCAGTAAGGTTTCGGAATTTTAATTTTGCCCCGGGGGTTCAAATGGGGGTCGAAAAATGATGTTTTTTATGTAAAAAGCCCCATCTTCCCTGAACTCCTCTTACATTTTACTTAGCAGCCTAATGACCTTTTGGGGGATGGTTTGTGGTGTCAGATAGATGTGCAGTAAGGTTTCGCAATTTTGATTTTGCCCCGGGGGGTCAAAGAGGGGTCGAAAAATAACGTTTTTCATACAAAGAGCCCTGTTTTCCCTGAACTCCTCTTACATTTGATTCAGCAGCTTAATCATCTTTTGGGAGATGGTTGGTGGGGACATGTAGATATGCAGTAAGGTTTTGGAATTTAGATTTTGCCCCGGGGGGTCAAAGTGGGTCGGAAAATGACGTTTTTTGTGCAAAAAGCTCTGTCTTCCTTGAAGTCTTCCTTAATGTTACTCAGAAGCCTAATTATCTTTTAGGAGAGTTAAATATTTTGAAAATTATGTAAAACATCAAGGTCAAGGGGTAACAAGATGTGTTTGTGAAATACTATGCACTCGGCGGCAGCAAAGATCGAAAAAAAGTTAATTTAGCATATAAGTCACAGTCAAGGTCACAAGGTCATTGACCTTGGTGTTGTTTGTAAGAACTTACTTAGTGGGGTATGCATTATAAATATGAAGTCCCTATCTCCTATGGTTCAAAAGTTATGGCAAAAAGTAGAAAAAGCTATTTTCAGTATAAAGGTCACAGTTAAGGTCACATGGTCATTGACCTTGGTGTTGTTTGAAAGAACTTTATTAGTGGAGTATGCATACTAAATATGAAGTCCCTATCTCTTATGGTTCAAAAGTTATGGCAAAAAGTGGAAAATGCTATTTTTAGCATATAGGTCACAGTCAAGGTCACAAGGTCATTGACCTTCATGTCATTTGAAGGAACTTGATCAGTGCACTATGCATACCAAATATGAAGTCCCTTTCTCCTATGGTTCAAAGGTTATGGCAAAAAGTGGAAAAAGCTATTTTTAGTATAAAGGTCACAGTCAAGGTCACATGGTCATTGACCTTGGTGTTGTTTGAAAGAACCTTTTTAGTGGAGTATGCATACCAAATATGAAGTCCTTATCTCTTATGCTTCAAAAGTTATAACAAACAGTTGAAAAACCTATTTTTAGCATATAGGTCACAGTCAAGATCACGAGGTCATTGACCCTGATATCATTTGAAAGAACTTTATTAGAGGAGAATGCATACTAATTATGAACTCTCTTTTTCTTATGGTTCAAAAGTTATGACAAACAGTTGAAAAACCTATTTTTAGCATATAGGTCACAGTTAAGGTCACAAGGTCATTGACCTTGATGTCATTTGAAAGAACTTTATTAGAGGAGTATGCATAATAAATATGAAGTCTCTATCTCTTATGGTTAAAAAGTTTTGGCCAAGGTTAAAGTTGACAACAGACAAACAGACAAACAGATAAACAGACAAACAGACAGGACAAAAACAATATGCGCCCGAAAAAATTCGGGCGCATAAAAAAACACCGCATGCTGGGAAACACCTTGAATTCTTATGAGTAATTTATGTACATGTTAAATGTGAGAGTCATATCTCATCTCAATCAAAAGTTTTAAGCAAATGCAACATTTTTGAAAAGTAGGTTAGGCTTGATCACTTCAAGGTCAAGGTCACAGTGTTAAAGTCATGATTTATTTGGAAAGGTCTTATCACAGGTAATAATATACATGCATTATGATATGAATGCCCTAATTTTTCTCTTTCAAAATGATGAATTTATAACAATTCAATTTTTTTGCAAGTTGGTCAAACTTCTAGGTCACATGTAAAAAAAAAAAAAAAAAAACATGCCATTCTCACAGGTAAATATACTAATACATAAGTTTAATATGAATGTCTCTTCTCATTCAGTAGATATGACCGTGATAACCAAGGTTAAATTTTTTGAGACAGATGGACTGAGTCTAACATACAAATGTACATATTTCTATATGAATTGGGTAAAATTGGCCCAGTGGTTCTAGAGAAGTTAAAAATGTAAAAAGTTTTCAGACAAACAGATGGACAACACGTCACGACAGACATTATATGCTAAGGAAACCAAAAAAGCTCAAATGAGTGTTTTGAAAGGGTTACAATATGGTTAAAGTATTTGAAAAGCTGTTTTTTTCCTGCAGAGATATGCATGACCAACATATTTATGTTTTATATTTTCTTTAGTAATTTGTTTGTTTGTTGTGAGTACATCTTCCCTCATATGGAGACACCACCAAATAATAATGAAGATAAGATGTGTTTGTGAAACACTGATGTCCCAGTATGGAAGCCTATGGCGAAGGTTGAAGTTTCTCAAATATATGTCAAACTCAAAGGTCAAGGTCAAAGGGTTCAAATTGTTAGTATCAGAAGAAAGTCTTGTCACAAGGAATGCACATGTTAAATACAGAAATTTCTAGTAATTCCTGTTCAAAAGTTAATTGCCAAGGTTAATTTTTTTTTTTAAGTGGTTCAAACTCTAGGGTCAAGGTCAAACATATTTATACCTGTTGACAGTTCAAAATGAATACAATATGTCATGATAAGTATGAAAGCCCTAGCACCTACTGATCAAAATTTAGGCAGAGTTTAAAGTTTGGTATTTTTCTTGTAAAAATGTGTATCCCATGTCAAGCGATCAGAGGTAAAAATTAATGGTACCCAAATAAAAGGTCTTATTAAATTGTCACAAGAAATAAACCTATAAAATGTGGAAGCTATATGTATAGCCCATCCCACTTAAAACTTATGGGCAAGCTAGCTAGGATTTAATTTTTGCAGACTTATAGACAGACATACTATAAACACAAGAAACGAAATATGTATAATAATTAGTCAAATGGAAAAAAATATACTATTTAAGTGGAATCACAAAATAGATTGTTATTTCAGGGACAGGAAGTGGGTAGGAAGATTGGAATCCCCCCACCCCCTCCCCCCATCTGGCATTTGCTTTGTTATTTAAACAAGATTATATACTGTAGCAAGTAAAAAATGACTCTTGACATCCTCTCCTATAAACTTAGAAAACATTGACCTCACTACCATTGTTTTTTTATTTGTTTATTTGTTTTCATTTTTTTTCTCCTGCTTGTCACGAAATTCTGGGCTGGAATTTTTTGACTGAGATGTGAACCCCCCCCTCCCTAGTCCCGAAAAAAATTCTGGATCCGCACCAGTATTTGCCAGTAATTGAATGTCATATCGACAACGGGAGATAACTTCACAATATGAAATTCGTCTAGTGTGGCATGCGATGATCTTTGACTTTTAAACTTTAACCTAATCGTTTAGGTGTATTTTTACCCCCCACTATACTAAAACTTCTACTTACCGACTCCCTGTGTCTCGTAAACTTCATGAAATATAAATCCAATTATAACACAAAATGAATTAATCCAATGCACACCAGACTGCAGCTATGTGCCATTTTGGCGAACTTTCGTCGATTCCGTCACCTTATCAGATGAAGTGGTAATCGGCCGAGGTGTGCCAAATGGTGTTTAATCTATAAATATGTTAATGGGTGACGCAACGTGATGTGATGTAGAAATTTACATGTTCACATGTATAGTACAAGAACAAATTTTAAATTAATTCATTACAAACGATAAAAAGCCTTTTCCATCTAGCCTATTCCAAAAAGTATGTGCTGTGTGATTGTGGTGTCGAATGGGGTGGGGGGGGGGGGGGTAGTAAATTTAAAAAGGTCCTTTTATGAGCAAAACATATATCAAAATCTAATTTAAGACACGGATCCAGAAATTTTTTTTACCGGGGGGGGGGGGGTCCACCTCAAGCAAAAAAAATCCTATCCCAGAAATTGACTATCATAAAAAAAACCTAAAGTAAATCTCAAACAAACGTCAAAAACCTATATCGTGGAGGTGGGGTGGGGGTAGTGGTGACTTCTATGTTTAACTTTTCATACCTATTTTACACATATTCGTGTTTACCAGGGGGGGGGGTCTGCATTTTCCAAGGGGGGTCCATTGTAACTTTTTCCTTGTTTTAGTATATACATTTTTTAACCTTGTAAATTCCAGAGGGGGGGGGGGTCCTGACCCCTGACCCCCCCCCCCCCCGACAGATCCGTGCATGAATCTACATCATTAATAAAATTCAGACTGGTATATAATGAATTAAGCATATATAAAATAAATATAAGAGGTTCTGAGTTATAGGTCACAGGGTCTGAGAATTTCATAATCAATTTGATTAATACATGTAAATTATAGAATTATTTTGACTATTTCCTTGGAAAGCCGCCCAATATGTAGGAGCGTGTATTTAGAGGCAAACACCTTAGTGCGGGTATTACTGTCTCATGACAGCATCTAGTTTTTTTTTAATTTGAAATAAATTAAGAAATCTAAGTATAAATCACAACATTTAACACAATACTACAAACGTGTATGTCTACTTGAAAGGGAAATCATCATTATATTTGCATAGTAAAATAAATTGAATCCATATTTTGCGAAAAATAAAATTTGATTAATAACTAGATATATGTTTGGCATCATTTGATACAAATAAATAGTAAGATAATTTGCGCTTTTGAAAACAAATGTTATATATACATGAATTTGAAAGGAGGCCTTACCGAATTCGTCAGAAGAAAGTAAAATTCCAGTAAATGTGGTGTAAATCTCGTCGTCTGTTCCAAAGAGTGTCGTGTTATACGATTGGTGAGTTCTGATACTCACGTGATCATTTAAATTCAAATGAAGCAGAACAGAATTTCCAGCATCTGCATAACCGTGTGACGTATACCCATACACAGAGCAGATATAGTTCGTGTTCTTATAGAGTTCTATCCAAATCTTGCTTTGGGTATGTGCCAATGAGAAAAAGTGAAAGGCATAAATTCCTGGGTTTGTACAAATAAAAGATCCCTGATGATCAAACGTTGCAGAGATATTTGTGATAACTTTGTTATAGGCTATCTGTTCGCCATGACTGAGGTACAGATGTTTGGTCTGCCCCAAAGTAAATGCCACATTGTCAGAAAACTGACAGAGCACTGAAAGAGAATTAAACCTGAATGAAATATAAGAAATCGAACCTTATTCAATCTATTCAATCAAAAATTCCAATGAAATTAAATCTATTAATTGACTTCCTAATTTTACATATTATATGTTACTGTTTTGAAATTCGTTGAAATACATACGCCAGTAAGTAAATACACATTTTTGAAAAAAATAATAAGAAAATGAAAATAACCAATTAGCTTTGCATGCGTATTAATCATTTCTCCCTGACATTCTACATAAAACACCTACTCTCTAACTTTTTCTTCATAACAGACGAACCTCTCTGACTTATTGTTCAATAAACAACCACTCCATGACATAAATTCTACTTTTACCCCCTGAATTATTTGATGGCCTACTTTGCTTTTTAACTGATATAACTGAATATGTTCAAAAGAACAGAAAAGAATACATAAGAGTGAGGAAGATCGCATTCTTTTTTAATATGAAATTCAATTTTAGAATTTTGAGTTTTGTGTATTATTCATAGTTTTGCTTACATTCTTCTAGTTTTTTTTCGAAGAATAAGTAGGACACTAGCATATTATCTATCTAGAGCTGAAATTACACGTATTTATATTATCACTTAAAGATGTATAATGGTTACACTACCTGTTTTTGAAAGTAATATCAAGAATAAATATATCATGTCCTCCATATTTCTTCGATCATCTGAAAATAATCATGAGCTTTTGGGCTTAGATAAGATTTTCAAATAAAAATCGCTTATCTATCTATATGCAGAAACGTGGTTTATTAAACATTTGTAAATAAATGAATTTATTCACCTCATTTAATTTTATGCTTCAAATTGATAAAATATAATTTTGTGCTTCAAAATTATGAAATATATTAAATAGGTCAAGTTCAGAATAATCAGCAGAATTTAATATATTGGATAAAATATATGGAGATAACGAAAAATATTCAAGCTCAAAAGTCCAATAAACAATACAGAAAAGGAACAGAGAAAACACGGACCTCCGAAACATCAGAGGTGGGATCAGGTACCGTAGAAGAGTGAGCATCCCCTGCTGACCGTTCACATCCGTCGTGTGCTCCTCGTCATGATCGGGAAATAACAGAAAAATCAGTATGCAAACAAATGCCTAACAATTAGCATTCAAAAAGTCAGCATTTGATTCAATGATAGATTGCATTTGCTGAGAAAGTCATTTTATCGACCATAGAATTTACGAAATGATGACATTATACGAGACTGCTGATAGTCTTGTTTCATCAACATGTTTGTCAATAATTTACATCGTTTTATAAATTGTACATACGTAGAACATGTCCTTGAGTATCGAATCAACTGATAGAAATAAACTCCGTATGCAGATGATGAAGGTATATTGCTGCACAAGTAAGGGAAGCTGGACTCACGGCGGGTGTGACTGGTCAACAGAACAAGGGGTGCCTACTCCCCTAGACACCTGATTACACCTGGAGTTTACGGGGTTTATGTTTGTGCCCTGCTCAAAGATCTGTGTTGATTTCTAGTTTCTACATGGCATCAATCACTGTACATTATCCATGTTTTTCATTAAGTCAAGAAACAAAAATATTTATTGAAAATATTGAAGCATAGAATAGACAGCATTACATCAATAAAATAAAATACAGGAATACACAGGAAGAGCGTCCAGTGATGGAATTTAGTGAAAGAAAATCAGGACCTTGATTAATGACACTGTAGGTAAACACAGAATTTGATTAACAAAATAAAAGTCCGACATCATAATAAAGGGTCAAATTAAAGGGAAACTCTAAATTGATTATCTATACGTCATTCATTTGTAGGACCCGGGTAAGGAAAAATTTACAAAACACTGATAAGAAATTTGAATGGAAGAAAGAAATTTCAACTGCAACGTCGCTGTGGACTCCATGGTACATAAAATCAGTTGTTATGCATACGGTTGTGATGACAAAACTTTGAGAACGAACAAACCTAGAGTCGGAAGCATTCTTGTCCATCATGGGAATCAAAGACAGAGTAATAGACACTCCACTGTTTTTGAAAATATCATGTGTTCTAGTGATTGCAGCTTTCGTTATCAATCTCATCGGTTTCTCTGTACCTTATTGGTTTGAATTGAAAAGTTACCATGAAGGTCTATGGTCAATTTGTATTGACTCAGAATGCACGGACTACTCATTTAAGAATCTGGCGAGTAAGTATTTATATATCATTGCTATTTTATTTTTTACTTTTTAATATCAATTAAGAGTTTACCTTATTAATAATAAGGTGTTTATTTACACATGTACCTATACCTTTAAATACTATCTTATGTGTCCCCACGACATAGTGAACAAATGGGATGCCGGATTCAAACATCAGTTTGTGTATTGCAAATTGTAAACATAGTAAACAATATTTATTAAGTTTTTCCTACATTATTTTCAAATAAAGAAAACATTCTGTAAAAATTTAAACATATTTCAATGAATTTTCTTATGCAAAACAGCAATTTTATTTTCATGGCAATCATTACTTTGGTATTTTCCATGTTTGTTTAGAGAAATTTATTCGAAAAGATAAGCTGCAGATAGGGAATGAAACCAATCAAGTCTGATATGAGAACGAATAAAGCAATAAATTTAAAGTTTATCCATTAACTTTACAATTGGGCAGGTTTTATATATTAAAAAATCGGCCAAAGTCAACACCACACTGTTACTTATTCAGATTTACATCATTTCGCATGAAACGATAAAGGTAAGGATTTTTGAAAACTTTAACTCTTTATTAGCCGGGCTTATTGCTCAAAGAGCAATTGCCGGCTTATGTGATCCTGTTCAAGGCAGGATGTTGACCCAATAGTCGCCATTTTAAAGTTACGTGCAAAAATATAGTTCTTACTTTCAACCGCTTTTGAGATAATACAAACGCTAAATAAAGCAACAAAAATAAAACGAAGTTTTATATATATAAAATAAACATTAGTAGTAATGACTTTGAAAACTTCATAAGTCAAAGAACATAGTTCATTAGCGTAAGGATTTTTAATAATCAGTGTTACCGTAGTTCTCTACACATACGAGGTAAAGCAGAAGAGGGAACCAGACTGGCCTGTTTGTTTACATGGACCCGGACCACAATTAGCTTACATATAGACTTATATAGTAAAAACATGTGTTTTATTTTCTTTGTAACTTTTTTAAAAATCTTCATTTCCAAAATATCTTTGACCACATGATAGAGCAATGTGTCAGATAAATATTCACATCCAGAAATAGGGGTGTTGAATGTGGAATTCCCTGGTTATCAATAAACTTCTGACGTCATGACCTCAGGATAGCTCTCGCTTGGCACAAAAAGTGTAAACAAACCAAATGAATGCTCTTTTCAATTCATATTTCTAGGCATAATTTTTGCTTGAAATGCACCATGCTGCATATCATTGTAAACTTTAGACACTCTACTTTTATTCTATACCCCAAAAGTATCTAAAACATGTGAGCTATTTTTATTTTTATCATTGAAAGGGAGGCATATGAATTTCCTACATGTGCTACGTTTTAGCCATTTGACCATCACCCTTTAATTGTGGCCCGGATCCTATATTCAGCTGCGGTACCAGATTAATTCTGAATCTGACAAAATCGGACCGTGGTATTAGGATTGAAAAACTCACTGTCAGTGTCTTATCATTTATATTGATAGTTTTAAAATCATTTTTTCATCAGAATATAAACATGATTCATGTAAGAAATCCATTCTACTCTGTAAATGAGCCCGGCTCTCTGTACTTCTGAGTACTTTGATTTTTACCTTAGTTCTGATTGTTCGGTATGTCTCATACTCCCCATTGTAGGTTGGTTTGAGGCCTCCCGGACTTTTGCTGCCTTTGGGTTTATAGGATCCATCGCTACCATAGTCCTCCTGGTCCTGTATATCTTCGTAGAGAAGCTTAGCATTTATATCGTGTACATCGCCGCTGTGGTCACGTGTTTTGTGACAGGTTTGTATCTGTTCAAATTCATCAGGTTTTCATTCCTGGTGTGGAAGCTGCCTTATAATTATTTATCCCTTTCAGTTATAAATTACAAATAATTGAAATTTCGTCCATCGTGTGCATCTTCCCTCGGTGAACACAAACTTTTGAAAATTTTCAGTTTCTCATAAACTGCTGAACCAATCTCATCCATTTTTATGTTGACCATTGATAAACAAACTAAAAGGAGAAAAGATAGTCCATTGCCCTCCCTTAAGCTTGAGTATTTGGACCAAAACAATTAAAATTAATATATTTTTAAAAACAAAGCCTTTTTACTCCTGGACATCAAGCAGTCAAACCATTGGCAGTTATATGAGTCCTTTTATATTGCTTTAACAAAATTATGAAATTTCTTGCACCAATAAACGTGTTCATAAATAGTGAAACCTTGAAAATCATTTCTCTGCGCATATTATTACAAAAACAAGCGTTTTGGAGAAACGAGATAAGTCTCTTTTATGAGAAACTAAGCATATGTTTCGAATCGAACATATTTAATTATATTATATAATGAAAAATCAATAAATTGACCAGAGGACATTGCATATACACTTATAAGCTCTTTGCACAACTCTTCTCATATTTTTTCTATATTTAATTTTTAATGTTGTAGGTGGCTTTATCTTGCTGACCGTGTTGATCTATGCGGCCTTCCTGAACAACCTGTCCTGGGGCTGGGCTTTCTGTGTCGTGGCCTTCTTACTCTACTCAGTGGCCGGGGTCCTACTGATTATTAACTTCCTAAGGAAGGACGGGAAAGTGGCCAGCAAATAAATTATAAACTGTAAAATAAAAACGAAATGGGAAATATTCAATTTCAGTTGATTTTATATCTAAATATACAATAAATATAGAATTTAACAGTGTTTGTGTTTTTGCGCCATACAGACACTTACATTAAAGCTTATATATTTACAGATTGTGCACAACAATGAGTTGTTAATCATAGTTTCACAAATCGTGAAACTATATTTATCAGATCGTTTACCATAGTTAACGCTGTAAACTATAGTTTACAAATCGTGAAACTGTATTTATCAGATAATCTATGTTTTGCAATCGCAAATGATTGTTTTCGATGTTAAGTATAGTTTACGGTTGTGAAACATAGATTATCGCGTTAACTATGGTTTACAGATGTAAAATATAGATTAACGTTGTTAACTATAGTTTACAGTCCGTGAACTATAGTTTACAACCGATAAACCTAGTTTATCGACTGTGAAACTATGTTTTGCTCATTTTTGTGAATTTGGCGTGCCATACTTATATATTTACAGATTGTGCACAACAATGATAAATCAAATTTCTGAAAATAGAGACAAATAGGGAAGACATAATTATATCACCAATTCATGTTTATTTTTCCATCAACTGTTCGTGGGGAGTATATATTCTTTTATTCAGGAGATATTTCAAAGTCATCTGCCAACCAGTTCTTTTAGAGTACCTGCAAACAATTTCTTTTGAATTATTTCTATAAGCAATGTTTAAATCATTTTTTTATCATCGTTTGATGCGGTTGACAGCAAACATGAGGTCTTTTACTGAATTTCATCTCAACAAAATAATGTTTTTACTTGGGTCAGCTCATCTCGACTTAATGTTCTTTAACTTTCTATAGTCAGTGTATGTTCGCCACTTCAATGGGTTGATTTGGTAAAGGGGACGCTCATTCCTTCCTAGCACCTAATCCCACCTCTGATGTTTTATAAGTCCGTATTTGATCTGGTCCAGCTTTGTATTGTTTGACGTTTGAGCGTGAATATTACTTATCTGGTATTTCTAGATATCTCATTCACCTGTGGATAACTTCTCTGTAACAGATGTTCTGTGGGTGACATTTCTGTATCAGTGGTTTGGGGAAAACCTTTCAATCAAATCTATCTATCCGGTATTTTGTTGGTGACAAATCTTTATATGGTGTTCGTAAGTAACCTTTTTTGTATTAAGTGTTCTGTGGTTGGTATTTCTTTATCAGGTATCCCCTATATAACATCTACATATTATCTTGTTTAAAAATCCTTTTATTTTATTCTATTCAATTTCAAAAATATTTTTTTGTTTAAGATCTTAATTCAAGTTCAATCAGTTTGAATATTACATATACTGAGAATTATTTATTATTATCTATATCTAAAAAAAAAATCTTATAGGAGGACGAGATTAATCAGAGGAAGTTGAAATTTTATAAAATACATAAATTGTATTTCTATTTAATCTTTCAATCTCAGAGACGTAATTTTTTTTATGATCGATGCTTAATCCCCTAATTATAAACAAGGCAGAAGACCAAAATAAATATATGGAATGGTTTTAGATATTATTCAGGAAGGGTGCGTTTTTCATTTTCTAAGTATGATTTATAGTTTTAGTCTACAATTCTATACATGTGGGGTTTTCCTATTATGCTGAAATACTAAAAATATTCTCAGAATAAAAAGTTTTTATTGGAAAAAATACACATATACATAATTATAAATACGGATAAGATTATTTTCACACGATGACTATTATGTATTAATCTATGTATTTGTTCATTTCTATGAAATGCTGCAATATTTCTTGTATTTACAAACGTTTTACATATATTTAATAAATAAAACTAGAGTATTTGTAAATGACTTTTTAAAATACATACTAATAAATACACATTAATAAAGAAAAAATAAAGAATTATATAAAGCCAAACACATTTATGACATTCGATAGCATAAAAAACAATTTGCCATATTTGTACCTTCATCACCTGAATACAAGGTTTATTTCTCTTAGATGATTCGATACGCAAAAGTATGTTCTACTTATGAACAATTTTTAAAACGAGGCAAGTTATTGTCAGCAAATACATTTTATCATAAAGTCAAATGCTAACTGACGTTTTTCATACTTATTGTTAATCCATTATATATATATACACTGAATTGTCGACGTATTTTTCCATTATTTCCCAATCATCTACATTGATCGTTAAATGACAAATATATCATCTTCAGAAAAATCATGTTAATAAAAGAGATGAATTTAATTTGGGAGAATTCATGAGGTACGCGAATGAAATATGCAGACGTGAAGCGTCATAGTTCGTGTCCTCATTAATTTCTCAACAAGTAAATCCATCTCTTAAATGAACTGTAAATATTAATACAAAGGGAAATAAAGTGTATATAATACATAAACTAATTTACTGTACGGGGACATTTAAACTGAAACAAAGCTTGCATCACGTTATAAAACCATCAATACGTGCGATATTCAATGATAAATAAAATTATGCTTTGGTTATTCGATTTGTTGGTCTTAGTTCCAAGTGACGTCATAGACATAGCTATGAGAAGGCGAGCTGTTATCGGATGAACTACGTTTGCTTATATCGTCATAGGATACGTAATCATACTTTCGTACTTCTTTTTCCTCTTCTGTGGAAGAAATCTTAATTGCAGGCGGGGAATGACATTGTTCTTTTGTATTTTCTGTAGCTTCTTTGGCTTTCCTTTGTCTGTTTTTTATTCTGATGTTTTAAAAACATATCAATGATTTTCTTTAATTAAGAAACAACGTTAACAACATTTATTTATTATGATGTTTGGACATATGACAATTTAAATAACTTGCATTATACTTCAATTTTTTTTTTTTGAAAGATAACAAACATTAAACGAACTTACTTTCATACATTACTAGTACATGTATTCACTTTATGGTAAAAATATGCTTATTTCAAGGTCGATATCATATTTTCTTATGTAAATGAAACTAATGTCATTCATGTCTTACATTTTGTAGATTTTAGCGATCGTGTATAAAACTCCAGATGCTGTTAGAATGGGAACAGATACCAGAATCACAACTTTTTCATTTCCCCCTGAAAATATATCGTAAAATTACAAAAGTGGTGAATTAAAAATAAACTGGTGATTTTTAAAAGCATCTGGTCTTCTCCTACAATCAATAAATAAACAAAATAGGATTCTTAGCCGTAGAGCCATGTTGTATATTACAATTTGAATAAAAGCTTCATTACGAATTACCGTACCTTTTCCTTCTTCTTTGGAAGTTGGTTGAAATTTTTGTTTAGCATTCATATTGTTCTGTTCAGGCCGAGATGCTTGGATGGTAACTTCTTGAATTTTCCTTTTCATGTTCGTTACATGCTTATCAATATTTCTATTGCTTTCGTTTAAAAAAAGAGCTGTGGTTTTCTCATTTTTTCGTGTGATTTTCTTCAGAAAATTGTTCTGTGGGAGAGTTAAACTTTCCCGAACTGTGGACTTGACATACCTCTTTGTTTCTTTTGTGAGGTAAGAATTATTGAAATTTTGTCGAAAAGCCACCGGTGGGGGTTTTGTTTCTAAAAGAAAATTTTTCTAATGTTATTACCATGGGGTCAGTAAGAAACACATCATATTTCATAAATTGTATTATTCAAAGTTACCTGGTAAGCAGTCTTGGGGCCGACAGTATTCATATTCGTAGTAGTTGCCATTACAAAACTGAGTCATACAATGCCGCTTCCTCCATCTTGTTTTTCCCTCACAGGGATAAGAACACGGCGTCCAGTCACTCCAAAAAGACCAACCACCTGCAAAATATTATATTAATATTCACGATCATCCTCGTACAAGTATTGTATTCCACTCAATGGCTACATAAATATTTAAAAAGTTCACGACCTTCGTTGTACAAATATTATCAATGTAGCGGACAGTATTGGGAACTTCACTGTCTCGCTAGTAAACTAGCTTGTCTAGTGATGCAGTAGAGCCTCTCTATCAGACAAGTTCAGCAAACGGCGAACCTGTTTCTGCCTTGGATAGGTGACCGCTTCCACATTACAAAATTGGTGTCAGCGTAGTGACTCTGGTGCCTAGTGTCCTGCTTCAGGAAGTCTAAGAGGTTGGACTTAGTGTCCATATACAGCCTTTGTGTCTGTGGACAGCAGGGGGTTGCCGTAACTGAAGGTTCCGATCTGCTTCAGGAAGCTCCAAGGCTGGAACTTTGTGTCCAGGTACGGACTTCGTGTCCGGGAACGGCATTGGTTGCCGTAGCTTCAAGAAGAGTTCAAGACACTCAAAGAGAACTAATGCTTAGCTTTGAGTCGAAGCTTCCCTGAGCAGTGAGAAGTAGAGCCGACAGTATAAAGGGAAATCCACTAGAGAAGAAGCTTTCCTAGTGATGCAGTAGAGTCTCCCTATATTTCAGGCAAGTTAAGCAACAAATAGCCTGTTTCTCCCTTGGAAGGGTGACCGCTTCACGTTACATCAATACTCAAAACCATCCTGACGTCCTCGTACGAATATCGTATTCCAATCAATGTACAAATAATGAAAATATCCTGACCATTCTCGTACAAGTATCGCATTCTAGTCACAGGTTATACAAATATTTGAAAATGTTCAATTATCCAATTGTCCTCGTACATATATTATTGATATTTTACATTATACTCACCCCATGCATTTGGGCAAAAAAGGAATATCGAAACTAACAATCTAAACAACCAAATACACTCCATTTTTTCCTGTTTCCAGTAATGTATTTAATTAAATCAAATTAAACGCTCTGATTCTGACGAGCCTTTGAGTAGGTACATGTACATGAAAGAACAGGAAACTTTATATGTGGCAGTGGCACTGATAAATATTGATAATCGTATTTATTGTTTCCTTTTTCATTTTAGTTTAGCTATTTTCCTACCAATATGTCAGTTCTGTAGCCTTATGTTTTTTGCTGGTGTAATTAGTAAATAGCTAGATAAAATAAAAGTTGTAAAATGTTCATAACATAGATAAATCAACAAAATGTCAAAACATCTGGGA